TTTTGCTATTTTAGGTGATAAAAGTAATAATTTGGATGAGATTTCTGCAATAGCTCCAGAGGAAGCAGTAGTTGAAACACACAGGAAAAATCCCCAAGATACTACAATAGAGATAATACTGCAGTAGTTGAAACACACAGGAAAAATCTCAGACATAGACACGAGTAAAAGGAAAAGGGTTACAAGGTAGTGGTATAACGGAGGCGGATATTAGCAGTCTGGGACATCCAGTTAGATCGGTGAATGTTGGGATTAATCGAACATTTCAATAGGTCAATGTGATAGCCATAGAGGATGTGGTGCTTCCCCAAGTCACTGAACATCGCAATGCTTTATCAAGGGGTAACCATTCAGTGGTTACTATTTCGGAGGATGGTCAAAATGAAGGTGCAAATCAGAATACTCGAACTATGTTTGATAAAAGAGCGGTGGGGGATAGTTTCAAGGGGTTGAAAGTAAAAAAAAATAATAAAGATTTTAAATTCTCCCCGACAATTTTAACGGATTGATTGCGGAATGCAACATTGAATTCTCAACTTGATTGTAGAACGTTGCATAGAGAGGGTTCCTCCAATTTGTGTGGAAACGAAAGGGAGGAAGTAAACCCGCCTGTAGTGAATTCATTAACGACAGTAACTGAAGAAGCCATATTCCCAGATAGAGAGAATGCTAACCTGAATCTACCCCATTAATGGTGTGCTCTCGGTTGTTTTATTCTTTAATGGTTAAGTTTCTATTTTAGAATTGTCAGGGAGTTGGAAGCTCTAATTTTAGACGTTATTTTCGCGAACATTGTCGGTCAAGTCGACCTGGTATTGTTGCTTTGATGGAAACTCGGATTAGTGGAATGGTTGCAGATAAAGTTGTTCGGCTGTTCGATTTTCAAAACTCTTTTAGAGTTGAAGCTCATGGATTTAGTGGTGGAATTTGGATCATTTGGAAATACGGGATAAATGTTGAAATCATAACAATTTCGCATCAATTTATTCATGGTAGATGTTGCTATGATGAAGTATCTTGATGGTTATATTTTACTGCAGTTTATGTGAGCCCTCAAGTGGAGAAACGACGATTAGTATGGCAGCATCTTATGAACCTTGATCCAAGCGAGAATGAAGCTTGGATCATGAGTGGTGATTTTAATTCCATCATTCGTCTTAATGAGAGGATGGGAGGCTCAAGTCGTGGATCAGGGGTCAGTAATTTGTTTGTATATTTTATTTTTGTTATGGGATTACTCGAAGTGGACTATAGGGGATCTCCGTTTACGTGGAGAAGAGGCAATCTTTGTAAACGATTGGATCGTTGTCTTATGAATAGTTGTTGGGCTGATGCCTTCTCGGGTACTATAGTGTTGTACCTTGACAGGGTGGGTTCGGATCATTGCCCTCTTTTACTACACGTACAGAGCATCACGAGGATTTATGGGTCCAGGCCGTTTCGCTTTATTGCTGCATGGAAAGATCACCCTCAATTCAAGAGCCTTGTTTCGAAAGCTTGGAATAAAGATGTAGATGTTTTAACCAATGTCAATTCCTTCAAAAGAAAATCTATTGAATGGAACTTGAAGGTGTTTGGGCATATAGGGAGGAAAGAAACTAATAGCACGAATACAAGGTATTGATAAGGCCCTAAGCTCTTGTTACTCTCGGCGTTTGGTGGAATTGCAATTCACATTGAAAAGTGAGTTGGAAGAGGTCCTTCAACAAGAGGAAAGTTTATGGTTTCAAAAGTCAAGAAATCAATGGGTTCTCCATGGGGATAAAAAAACAAAATTCTTTCATGCATGCACGATGATGAGATGTCGCTATAATTACGTTGGTACTCTTAAAGCATTGGATGGTAGTTGGGTATCAGATTAACAAAATCATTGTTTGATGGTGGTAAAATTTTATAAGGAGCTATTCACTAGTACCAATGAATACGATGATGGGTACTCGGTCCAGGGTTGTTTCCCCGTAATTCCTGATTCTAAGTTAAGCGACCTTACGTGACGACTGTTCAAGAAAGAAATTTGTGACATCTTATTTAGCATGAGTCCGCTAAAGGCACCTAGAGTAGATGGACTACATGATTTTTCTATCAGAGGAATAGGGATATAGTAAGTTATAGTGTGTGTCGATTGATTTAGAATATTTTTGCAGGAGGTGATTTTGATAATGAGCTCAATCATACTCTTTTGGTGTTAATCCCAAAAGTTAAAGCTCTGGAATCGTTTAATCAGTTTCACCCCTATTAGTCTATGCTCTGTTTTATACAAGCTGGTTACAAAGATTATTGTGAATCAGCTGAAGCCTCTGATGAGCCATTGGATATCGGAGATCCAGACGAGCTTTGTTCCGGACAGGTCAATCGCTGATAATATTATTGTTGCGCAAGAGGTAGTGCACTCCATGAGATTGAAGAAAGGAAAGATCGGCTATATGGCCATAAAAATTGATCTAGAGAAAGCTTATGACCGAATGGAATGGCCTTCCATCGAAGATACTCTAAGAGAGCTTAACATACCAGCGGTCCTAAGGATGCTTATCATGCGTTGTGTAACTTTTGTCTCGACTCAAGTACTTTAGAACGGTGCTTTATTTGAATCTTTTACTCCCACAAGAGGACTACGTCAGGGTGATCTGCTCTCACCTTATTTGTTTGTGATGTGTAGAGAAAGGTTGGCACATGCAATCTTGAGAGAGGTCAATAATGGGCAATGAAAATCTATTCGTTTATGCCGTAATGGGCCTGCTCTCTCTCTCTCATATTTTCTTTGCGGATGATTTTGTACTTTTTGAAAAGGCTTCAATTGATCAATGTCATGTTATTTGGCAAATCTTGGACCTATTCTGCAAGTTCTCGGGTCATAGAATTAACATTCAGAAAACTACTATCTATTACTCGAAGAATGTGGCATCGGATTTTAGAACTTCCATCAATTCATCCTTTGGTTTCCAAGAGGTTCAAATTTGGGCAAGTATCTTGGAGTGCCTCTTCTTCACTCTCGGGTTACGAGGGCTTCGTATAGTTATATTGTTTTGAGAGTTAGAGATAAGCTCACAGGGTGGAAGGCAAAATTTCTATCATTGGCCATGATGATCACATTGGCAAAAGCAATACTATCGGCGATCCCTTCGTATTACATGCAATCAACTAAGCTTATGAAAGAGATTTACGAAGAGATCAGAAGATTAATTTAGGGTTTTATTTGGGGTCGTACTAAGTCCAGAGGTGGAGTATCTCTTGTTCAATGGGAGAATATTTGCAAACCAACCATCAAGGGTGACCTCGATATGAAGAAATTAAACATTCAAAATGATACGTTTCTCATGAAGCTAGCTTATAAACTGGTGGTTAATTCCGATCAATTGTGGGCTAGAGTGCTATGATCTAAATATAAATGAGTGGATATGCTTCCCGAAACTATTAACCGTACAGGTAGCTCGTATATTTGGAAGGGTATCACTCACGTGTGGAAGGATGTATGAAAAAGTTTGGTTTGGAATGTTGGCAATGAGTGTAGTGTGAACTTTTAGTGGGACGATTGACTTAGCGATGTGGGGCCTTTGGAAAATTGCGTTGTGAATCAAGCAGAGAGATCTAATCTTCTAAGTGTGTCGGTGGCTACTATGGTAGATAGACATGGGCAATGGCGATGGGAGGATATTATCGATAAATTACCAAGCGATATTGTGCATAGAATGGCAACAACGATGCCTCCTGAGCATAATTGTAGAATGGATGCGTTGGGTTGAAAATGAAATGTTGATCGACATTTCTTGATTAAATCATCCTATGATTTGAGGCGGGAATGTTTAAGCGACGATATACATAAGGTATGGGATGTGATATCGAAATACCGAGGGTTACAGTGGATTAAGATTTTCTTATGGTTATTAGTGAATGATCAGTTACTTACGAATACCGAAAGAGTAAGACGTCATATGGCAACATATTCCATCTGTGGAATTTACGGGAGTTCGGGTGAAACAACGAACCATTTATTTCGCCAATGTCATTCGGCCATGGTAATTTGGGCATCTTTAATTAAAACTGAAAAGATAGAGGATTTTTTCACAAGTGACCTTAGAGAATGGGTGCAGATTAATATCGTTTCCCTGGGGTTTTATGCGCGAGAAGAAGGGGATTGGGATTTATTGTTTGGTTTGATTATGTGGTTAATTTGGAAGGATCGGAATAGGAGAATTTTTGACCCGTATTATATTGAGAATGATTCTGTCCTAGTGCAGGGTAGGTGCCTTAGTCGTGAAGCTAGTCGTGAATTAGATTCAACCTTATCCTTAGCTCAATCTTCTCATCGTTCATTGAATATGATTGATCCTTGGATTCCGCCTCTTCTTAATTGGTGTAAGGTTAATACCGATGGTTCCCTTAAAATAGGTAATGGATTTGCTATATGTGGGGGTGTTATTCGATCCTCGAATGGTGGTTGGATGATTGGATTATCTAAAACGATCGAAATTTGCTCTATCGTTGAAGCGGAATTGTAGGGTATCCATGAAGGTCTTTCTCATGCTTGGAATCTTGGGGAGGCAAGTAATGGTGGGAACTAATAGTTTGGAGGCTGTTCGAATGCTGCAGTAAAGTTATAAAAGAGGTTCGATTATCACGCTCTTAGACTGTGTTAATGGCTTGTTAAACCGGGATTGGAATGTGATCTTGAAGCATATATACCGGGATGCAAATAAGGTGGCAGATACGTTAGCAAAATTAGCTACAGCAAGAGGTGAAGTCCACATGGTTTTCTACACTCCACCAATGGAAGTTGTCAACTTGGTGCAACAGGAAGCGTGCAACAGGAAGCTGTTGGTCGTGTGTTGGCAGCAGAGTTTTAAGTTTGTGTAGTTTTCATCATTACTTCATAAAAAAAAGTATTTTAATTTTTCCTTAATAATATAGATAAAAGAACCAATATAACGTCCAAGAGCCACCGGAGACATGTATAGCAACAGACTGAATATTTCACACCTTTTAATAATAACACACATAATTAAACATAATGATAATAGGCAGCTTAGGTGGTGCCTCTGATGCTTTTCTATTCATCGCCGTGTCTTCCGCCATCGATCGCCACATCTGGGAATCCATCCGCCTCTGCATCAAATTCTTCATCGTCGATAGAAAAAAACAAATGATTCTAGACACTATAATCTACAAGGAAATAAACAGGAACAATATCTGATTTCTGAGGCCTGAGCACAGCAACCATCTTACCGGGATCATGCACTTGAAATCGGCATGTACAGCGGCTCCAGCGACCGGCCGGTAGATTGTATATCCGGTAAGACTGTTTATCATAATCGGATATAATGAGAAAATGCTTGTGAATTGAGTGCATGCATGCAGTAGATGATTACCTTCATTTAAACAAAATGATTGCAGCGCTGTCTCTTGAAAACCTGCACAAATTGCCTTGAGAACTGCTCCTTTCTTCAACTTCCCTGAATCCATCAGAAAAAGGTTACATTAGGTAATTCATGCAATCGTATCGCCGTCGCCTCCGACGGTAAATTCGTATTCGAATTGAACCTTTGTATTGTATGTTGTTTATCAGAAGAGTTGGCAATATAGTAATGTCTCCACGGAAGCCTTTGCCTATCTGAAACCGAAATTACAGCATAATTTAGAATGTTATGGCAAAAATACACAAAGATGGCTAATAAAGTTTAAGAAGTAACATGACCCATGCATGTCGTTCTGCTTCAAAAACAGGGTTCTCCACATCGGCCTCGGTGTCTCCGATATAATTGTCGATTTTAACTAGATCGATGTCGAGAGATCGGATGACTTTATCTGCGCATTCTTTGGTATACTTGTCTTTCGATTGGCAGCGGTTCGCAAACTCGGTAACGTAATCCCACCAAAGCCATGGCTTCCCACTTTCATTAGCAACTTTGAACAGGCAAGCTTGGCGAAGATTCTGAATCACCATGTCTTTACCGTCGTATACTCGGTCGAGACCCGGGGCACAGTACCTACCGTGGTTGATACATTGTGACCTGCATCGTTTGCTCAAAACAAAAGCTTCGGGGCAATACCAAGTCATGTAGTGCGGGGTGAAACGAATGTACCCTTTCTGCTCAAGTATTCGAGCAGCACCTTTGAAGTTCTCGATGAATTCGAGCTGGCTATCGCACTTCGGACCGCAATCGTAGTTGCTATTCGTCCAAAACTCGTACTCGACTTGCTCGTTGGGACGTAGGAGGGACTCCTCCCTCCAGTCAAGCTGTATGTCAACGATATCCCCATTACTAAGTGCCTCCTTGATGCGGTCGCCTACTGATTTACTAATGAAGGCTGATGGAATTGTGATATCCTGCTCGTAATCTCCGTGACCTTGTCCGTCTTCAGGGGTAGCCATGGTAATCAACGGCTCGTTTATGTCGTCGGCGATAAGAACAGCGGCAGCTCCAGCTCGCTGAGCCCGCCACGCCTTCAAGGCGAAGAAGCAATCTGCCACAACATTTCGGATTCAGATTATTCGAGTTATTCGTTCATGTGATTCCGAGTTAAAGAAATACCTCCGCGATCAACGAGGAGAACAATGGGGCATCCGGCGTGCCCCGATTCGAACGAGATGTGGAATTCATCAAAGGACTTGCATCCACGCTTGTTCGGTCTAGGATAAACAACCGTGCCGTTCAAGACTCCGCCAGGCCGATGAACCCCGAAGTTTCCGACGGCGGAATCGAAATCTCCATTGATTGACCATAACGATGTCACTTTCAAGCAGCTGTTCTTCCCTACAAAGCTGCAGAAACAAGTACCCCATAACAAAATGCCTATGCTAATTAAAAATCCAAACTTTTCTCTCATCTTTGCTTCACCCAAAGTGAAAAGGAAAAATGATGAAAATTGCCCAGTCTTGCATTCAATATATCAACATCAAAGTTGCTTTGTTTGATTGCTTCCAGTTGTTTACTGGGTCAAAGCTGGAGCAATTTCCAATGCATTTGCTTTGGAACTTGGTAAGTATTATAAATTTTAAATAAAATATTAATTTATAGAAATTAAAAAAATAATAATAATTCTACATAACCCAATTTTGACATGGTATATAGCGTACGTATCTACCACAAACAACAACGTATAAAACATGTCGCAGCATATAAAATTAATGAGAGATAATGTCAGGAATCTTTTTGAAAATGAATTAAAAGTTTAACAACCCTAAAAGTTTGATGAAATGTAGTTTACCCTAAAATTTATTATTCTATAAATTAAGCAACTTTGTGTCGAAGTTGACTCTAAAGGAGAGTGGCTCTTACTCAAACAAGGAACGACGATGGATCATATCTCACCTATGGTTCCTCTCATACTCAATTTAATGGAGATGAATGCACACTTGGAGTTTCGGTTTACCCCAAGGGAAGGTAATAGAGTTGCGGATGCAATGACGATACTGACATGGAAAGGACCATTTGGTGGGTATGGCTTATTGGATCCACCGGGTGAAGTGCGAATATTGATTGATGATGATAGACAAAGAATGACAGTAAGATCGAGAGAGCAGTGATATTTTCACGATGGAGCTACTGTAAGAGTTTTTATGGTTTTGTTTTGTATCTTTAGTGGTTTACTCAGTTCATTATATAATATATATATATATATAGTATTTTTCGTTAGCTATTTAATGGAAAGGATTGAAAACATTGATGTTTTTTAATATTTTCGATAAAGTGTCCAATAATAACAAAATCAGTAAAAAATAATAACAAAATCGGTAGAAAAAATAATGTTTTCGGTAATTTTTTACCGGTTTTGTTATTTAAATAATAACAAAACCGGTAGCGCTTTTTTTTAACCATATATTAAGGCTGCCGCACGTGATCATTTCCCCACAAATAGGTCCAAACCCTTTTTTTAATGATCCAAGTATCTAACGTTACAAAACATTATCATTTTAGATACCCAGACCAGAAATGTTGTTAATTTTCTTCATTAAGTGACACGTGTCACTTAATGGTGTTTTAAAAATTTTATTTAAAAAAATTATATTTAAAAACACAAAAAAAATTGAAATAGCCCCAAAACTTTAAAAATATTTATTTCAACCCTAAACCCACATCAATTGCCACTATTTACTGTCGACGAAGCTTCATCTGATCTCACCTCCACGGGTGATCAATAACCCTATGAAATCATAACCAAACGATGACCAATCAACGTTTTGTACCCCTAAAACCTCAAAACTTGTCGATAAAGGGAAATCTTCAAACCAATGTCTCTCGCAAGACGTTAGTCAAAAGTTGAACCTTCAAAACAAACATCTCAATGATCAGTCACAAGGTCTTCAAGATGGTCATAATAGTGACAAGGAGAAAGTGAGGTCAAAAGAGCTTATGCTCATTATTCCTTTATTTTCGTACAACAAGTTATATCCCAAGTTGCTCAAAGCCCTACTGATTACTCTATGTCTAGCTAAGCCTCTACTACCCCCTTTTTCAAGTTGGTATAACGAGAAAATTTTTTGTGAATATCACGCCAGAGCCCAAGGACACTCCATCGAGAATTGCAGTAACTTCAAACGACAAGTCCAAGACCTTTTGGCTCATGGAGCTATAGAGGTGGATGTTAACGATCAGTCGGTTTCAGTCAGACATTTGGAAGTCATCCCCCATAATGGAGTTAGTGAGGTCGAAACAAATGAAGTGCATACGGAAGAGGACGTGAAGAAAGAAAAGAGTAAAATCAAGGAAAACGAGGTGTGTGAGGCAGAGTTAAAAGATTCAACTCCCGAGACTTCTCTGACGCTAAAAAAAGAGAAAGATGTGGGAAATGACGAGAAGGAAATTAAAAGAGATGTAATCTGAGACTGGCCACAAAAGATGTCTTAGAAAAATACGACCCTTAAGGTTTTTCAAGTGCCCTTTTCTGACTCGCTATCCCCTTTAATCAAGAGTCAATACCTCACTCCAAGTCCTTTGAAAATGAAGACTGGCCCATTTTCGTATGGCTATGACCCGAATAGTGCATGCGATTTTCATTTGGGGCATTGGGCCTTCACACTGACAAATGCATACCATTGATGGAAGAGATAGAAAAGCTCGTTGACAAATGAGTCCTGACAAGAGAAATAATCGAGAGATTGGGAGCAAGTAAGGGTAAAGTCTCTAATCCAATTGGACACCCACCATTTTAGGAGAAATAGGGCCTTCTGGCTAAACAAGTGAAGGTCGTTCTCTACCACAGTCGCACCTTATGTTTGTAGCATCTTGTTTGAACTTTTTTTTTTACTTTCTCAGTTTTTTTTGTAAGGATATTTAAATGAATTTATGCTACTTTAAAGATGGTGAGCATTGAATCAAATTTGCAATCTTAAAGTTCTTTAAATATCAAATGAATTAAAAACTCTTTAAATTATTAGAGTTATGGTTCTTTGAAAAAGTGACAAGATTGAAAACTAATAAAACAACGACCCTTGACCTTATCCCATAAGATACACTCGAATACCATACCCTTGTCTTGCAGGGACCAAGCTAGCCTTCTATCCGCATAAAGAGACAATTAAAGACTTGGCATTCAGGTATGTAAGGATGTGGAAAAAAATGGGGTATCTTGCACATGATATTGCAAAGCTTATTGGTTTCTACTTTTGTTGATGACGTTCAATGATGATCATGATCTTCACAGATGGAATAGTCAAGTAGGTGAATCTAGTTTAGATCAGTTGCTTAGAAATTTAACTCTAAGGATGGGATTTTCTTGCTTTTAACAACACTTGGACTATAACATGTTCTTCTTGACAAGCTTAAGAAATTGAATATGTATACCCAGAATGTAACTATATGTATACGATAAAGCTTGAGTTATCCCTCTGGAGCAATTGGTTAAACGACCCAGCTTTACGGATAGATTCAGCTAGCCCGATAAAGGTGATTATAATATATATATATATATATATATATACATATACAATAAAGCTGAATTCAGCTAGCTAAACAATGGTCAATTAGTTCGAATTTACTAAATAAAGATTTTCGATACAGATGGACTAAGGGAGTTAAGGAATACATGTGATAGTTAATTTTACACGAGCACTCGGGAAATTCATTTTTAGATCGATATTTGTGCATTGCCTTTGTTAGAGGAGTTTACAAAGCTTGAACGAATAGAAGATTTCAGAGGACTGAAATAGAAGTGTTATATAATATTTAACAATTGATTATACTAGTTGCGACATTTTGTTTGCACCCAATTAAATGCCAAGTCAGAAATAAGGGGCATGTACAACATTCCAAAGATCATGGCAAGAAGAAGGAATTGATGACTAAAACCTTAGAAGATATGAAGCAAACCTGAAACCAACTCATCAATTTTGAAAATATTAAAGAGATGTTGATTCTTTTGATATTCTGTGAACTCATGTTTATGATTTGTTTCGATTATGAGCCTGAATTAAGGGGCAATACTTTAAAAAATTCTCTCATTCTTTGATTTCTAAATTAAAAGAAATAAGAAAAACATTTTCAAACATGACAATCTCAAATGCGAAAGGTCATTGAAGCAGGTGAGGCTCATTCTGCCTCTATTGGAGAAAAAGAATAAGTGATGCCATAATTGTAACATCCTCCATGCCGGGTTAGTGATTAATTTGCAAAGTTTCAACATTTGGTGATTAAAGTAGAATAATTATATAGTTTAAAAAGAATGGTTAGTAAATATGAAATGAATGTAAGGACCAAATGGTCATTTGTAAGGAAAATTATAATTAAAAAAATGTTATGGGGTTATATTATAACCCACGTGGGGCATTAGTATTCCAGAATCCTCTCATTTCTTCTTCCTTCTTCCTTATCTTCTTCTCTTCCTTCTCCAAACGTGAAGCTTGCAAGTAAAGGTAAGAATTTGAACCTTGGTAGTTTCTTTGATGTTTAGCTTGGAAATTGAAGTTTGGATGTTATATAAGCTAAAGGAAAGCTTATATGACATTAAGATAACAAGATAAATGTTTTAGAGATAGATTTGGAAAATGAGTTTTTAGATGAAATTTTGATATGGATGAGTTTTTGAAGTTTGAATAAGATTTTTGACTTGTTAATAAGCTAACTAAGAAGTATGAGGTGTTAGAATTCAAATTAGAACATGTTGGAATTTGGGTTAGATTCTTAAATTCTACATGGAGAATTAGATTTCTAAGTTTTAGAAATATTTAATGGATAATAATTAGCTTAAGTAAGAGTATGCAAGTTAGGAAATAAGAAAGAGGATGATATATGAAGTATTAAGCTGAAAAGAGTGGATTTTCGGGCATAAAAGAGGATTCTGGGCAGAGTGCATCGATGCATATTCATAGTGCATCGATGCATAAAGTTTAAAACCCAGAAATTATTTGAAGGTGTATCGATGCATTGGTAATGCATCGATGCACTCTTTTAAAATAGAAACATCGAATGCAATTAGTGCATCGATGCATAAGTCATGCATCGATGCATCCCAGTAATAATACAACATCGAATGCATTTTATGCACCGATGCATCAGTAGTGCATCGATGCATACCCTCATTAAAGGATGAAATTGGCTTTTCTATGAGTCTAAGGAATGATAGTTTAGAATATATTAATTAGTATACTGATAAGTATCATTGAATTATTATGTAGATACTGAGCCTACACGAGTTCGGGAACAATCTACAAGTAGGATCGATCGAGGAAAAGGCAAAGAAATATAGGTGAGTGCATATGCATAGCATAATTATAGAAATATACTCCATTCTAGACTTGTGATAAGTCTAGATTTTATATCTTGGTACATGAGCATATTTTGTATTATGAGACATGACATGAGTTAATATAAAATGCATTATATGACATGACTATGTGGGAAAAGTTATGAGCTATGT